GTCATATTTTGGGCGTTAGCCAAATCGTCACCTAATGTTATGAAGGATATTCTGGAAGACCGAAGAGACGGGTTGAGCTCAAGAAATGACCGGGTAACCTTTGAGAAAAGGTGACCGGCCATGTCACGTTACTTGGCTAACATTGGTCCAATCTGTTAGGCATGGCGAACCACGTCAAAGACCGAGGGAACACCCCGCCGCTCATCCATCACGAGGCATACAGTGAAAGGGATGTTTGTCATTTTGCAGGGTTGATTGGATTGAGAATATCCATTTATAGTCTTTGATTGAACAGTGTCTTGGCTTGTAGCTATTAAAATCTATGATTGTACAGTGCTTCCATTAACTACAGTGACCTTCCCACGGGCTTCCTATTTCGTCCATGGATGAACAGGGGGAGGTCACAAATCCTCTATAAATATGATGATTATGGATAGAGGAGGGGATCCAATTTTTCTCTCACTAAAGTTCACTCTTGAGATAGAGTAAGAAATATAATTCGGACTGAGGAGATTTACCCGGTCTAGGTCATACTTTGTGCTATTGTTGTGTGTATTTTACTACGGGTCGAGTGTGTCCAGGTCAAGCCCGGTCAACCCACCCAGCTATATTTACACCATCATTTTTGGCGCCAACCGTGGGACCCATTTTTAAAGTTTTTCGACCAGGTCAAAACTTTATCCCCACGAAATATCCACGATCATGTCTTCAAGCAATCACACCATTGTTTCAAGCCAGGCTACGAGTGAAAGCACTCCTGCCATCCCACTGATGATGAGCATGGGGACGACCTTTGCCCTGATCAGCACGGTAGGATCAATTGGCATGATCCCAATCATGTCAACCCCTACTCCTACGCCAACGACAACAATGTTCCCAGGCCCGGTAACAACGCCTGGGGGAGCATTCACACCATATCCGTCAAGCTTGGCTCAATTTGCTGCTGACCCGGCAAATGCTCAAGCTCTGCAAGGCTATCAACAGGTGATGGCCATGATGCAACATGCAGGGGGCTTCATGCCATTTGCCTATCCCGGCATGATACCACCAATTATGAGTCCTATGGCACCCCCGGTGTCGACTCCGTCGACATTCGTCCCTAGGATGGTCCCTATACGTCTGGTGAATTTGACGAGGACCATGAACGAAGCAGCACCCTCAAATGTCCATGAGGTCGACGAGGAGGAGCAAGAGGTGGCCCGCAGAAGGAAGGGTAAGGCTATAGCCAAGCCCAGCAAAACTCGGGATTCAGCGTTCAAATGCCTAGGGGACAAGGAAGATGGACCCCACAAGTCTGCCAAGCTACGTCTTGGTCCTGAGATGGGCCGGACTAGCGTAATGGAAAGACTTGGCGGAGGTCGTCCTACCCAATCACGTCGTTCTAGGGAATCTGAGACGATTCACCTAGACGAGGAAGAGGCCGAAAGCCAGCCCAAGGCGTCGGCATACACCAGACTCTCGTATGATGAGGATGATCTGGACAAGATAGGGAGTGTAGCAAGAAAGCTACGCGCCCTGGAAGAAAAAGTAGAAGAAAAGTTTTGAGCAAAGAAGCATACCCTGGCGAAGTCACCCTTTTCGGCCAGGGTACATGCACAAAAATTGAGGCGGAAGGTCAAGTTGGACGTGGAGAAATTCATGGGAAAGGAGGATCCAAATGTCCACCTTGACACCTTCCATAATGCTGCGCAAATGGCCGGGTGTATTGACGCTGAAGAGTGCCTACTCTTCTTCTCATCCTTGAGAGGGAGGCCAGTGGAATGGTTTAATGGCCTTCCTCATGGTAGGATCAGGTCCTTTGAGAAACTTGCTGAAGTTTTCCGCAAGAAGTACTAGGACAACTGCATCAAAAGGAAGAAGTTCACCTACCTTAACACGGCAGGGCAGAGAGAGAAGGAGTCCTTGACTCAGTTCTTGACTCGCTGGAGAGATGAGGTTGACAAAGTAGAAGAGATGGACGATAAGACGACCATGTCTTTGCTGATGAATGCCTTCCGGTCGGGTGACCTCTACACTGAATTTTGTAGAAGGCCACCCTCCTCTTATCAGGAAGCCTACAATACGGCATGAGAGTATGCCGAGGCGGAGGTCCTAAACTAGAACAAGCGGGAGCTGGAAGAAGGCTATACAAAGGTGAAAACCGATAAGCCAAAGAAGGATGACCAGATGGGAGGGTCCAAGCCAAGAGCCACATATGACGGGTCTGTCCATCAAATAAGGGATGAGAAGAAGGGAGAACAACCCAAGAGACCCTGGATAGAAAAGTGGTGTACGTACCACCAATCTGACTCCCATAACACGGCGGATTGCCAAAACGTCAAGGTTGTGCTCAAGGAGATGGCCTTGAAGGGAGAACTTGGAGAAGGATATGCAACGGGACACAAGAAAGATCCGAAAGCTAATACCTGGACCCGTCCTCAGGAAAAGGATCAAGGAAGGAGGAAAGGCAAGGACAACAACAAGCCGGATAAAGAGTTCATCAAGATGATTGTTAGCGGCCCGGAAGGAAGGGATACAACCTCCCAGCGGAAGAACTGGGCCAGGAGTCTACATGTATCGGTGGTTTCCGTGGAATCACATGGGAAGCAGGCAAGGAGAGAGCCTATCACTTTCACTGATAGGGATCTGCCCAGGACGGGAGGAGATCATAATGACCCTTTGGTCATTACGATGGATATCAATGGAGCTGATGTGGCCAGGGTCCTAGTTGACACAGGAAGCAGTGTCAATGTTTTGTACTTGGACGCTTTCAAGAAATTGAAGCTGGACAGGTCCATGTTGAGGCCATTACAAACTCCACTGTCAAGCTTTACTGGAGCTAGCATAGAAGCGGAAGGTCAGATCACCTTACCGGTTACTTTGGGGTCGGGTAACAGGACAGTGACCAAACAAATGAGATTTCTTGTGGTCGATATCAAGTGTGTGCATAATGCCATTCTGGGTAGGCCTAAAATCAACCAGGTTAGGGCCATCATTTCTATGGCACATTTATGCATGAAGTTTTACACTTCCAATGGAATCGGGGAGGAAAGGGGTGATCAAAAGAATGCCCGGTCCTGTTATCTAGAAGCGGTTAAGAAGATGACCCGTCAGTTCGAACAAATTGAACTAGTCTCCCAGCATGTAGACAAGGGCGAGGAGAAGGCTAAGATCGAGCCGGATGCTAACACGGAGGAGATCCAGGTTGATGCTTCCAACCCTGAAAGGAAGGTCAGAATTGGAGCGGATCTTCAAGAAGAGTCAAGGACTGAGATTGTCGAGGTGTTGACCAGGTATAAATCATTATTTGCCTGGAGTGTTGCTGATATGCCTGGGATTAACCGGTCAGTCATTTGCCATCGTTTCTCTGTTCTTGAGGGGTCTAGGCCTGTAAGACAGAAGAAGAGATTCTTGGCAAGTGAAAGGAGGGACTTTGTGAAAAAGGAGGTCAAGGACCTACTTGAGGTAGGTCATATCAGGGAAGTAAATTACCCTGAATGGCTGGCCAATGTTGTCTTGGCCTCAAAGGGTGATACCTGGAGGATGTGTGTGGACTACACAGACCTCAACAAGGCATGCCCAATGGATTCTTACCCTCTCCCTAGCCCGGACCAAATGGTTGATGAAACTGCCAGGTGTGAGCTGCTTAGTTTCATGGATGCCTTTAAAGGGTATCAACAAATCTTCATGGCGGAAGATGATGAGGAGAAGACGGCCTTCCTCCCCCCAGACAGGACGTACTGTTACAGGGTGATGGCCTTTGGGTTGAAAAAATCAGGGGCAACCTACCAGAGAATGGTCAACAAATTGTTGAGGCCTTTGCTTGAACGAACCATAGAGGTCTGCGTGGATGATATGCTGGTGAAGAGCAGGGCAACCAGCACACACGCCCAAGATCTGGAAAAATGTTTTGAGATTATGGCCAGGCATAATCTCAGACTTAATCCAAAGAAGTGTGTTTTTGCGGTAAGGACGGGGAAGTTCCTGGGCTCCATGGTTACAAGGAGGGGGATTGAGCCAAATCGTGAGAAGATCAAGGCCATTGTTGAGATGCAACCCCCGACTTCGGTAAGGGATGTCCAGAGGTTAACAGGACGCTTGGCGGCCCTAAATCGGTTCTTGTCCAGGTCGGCAGAGAAGGCTTTGCCTTTCTTTAAAGTTTTAAAGAAAGCCAATACCTTCCAATGGGATGACGAATGTGCTAGGGCATTCGAGGAGCTAAAAACGTACTTGAATTCGGACATTGTCTTGTCCAAGCCGGAAACGAAGGAGACACTCTACCTCTATTTGGGGGTAACCTAGATGGCCGTTAGTTCAGTCTTGATGAAGGATGATGGGGTCCAGAGGCCCACCTATTATGTAAGCAAGGCCTTAAATGGGGCGGAAAGTAGGTATACTCCTATGGAAAAAGTAGGGTATGCACTTTTCATAACAGCAAAGAAACTTACCTCCTACTTCCAAGCCCACCCCATCGTCGTGTTGACTGACCTACCATTGGGCACGGTCATGAGGGACTCCACTTCATCAGGAAGAATGATCAAATGGGCCATGATGTTAACTCAATTCAACATAGAATACCGCCCGAGGATGGCGATAAAGGGCCAGGTTGTGGCTGATTTTCTTGTGGAGATGACGGGTCACCAGGAAGAAGAACCGGCAAGGGAGATCACTGAGTCTTGGTGGTCCATGTCGGTAGATGGAGCCTCTGGACCGAAAGGTTACGAGGGAGGTATAGTATTCACAACTCCGGAAGGGTTCAAGGTATATCATGCCTTGATCTTTAGCTTCAAACTCACGAACAATGAGGCGGAGTATGAGGCGCTGATAGGGGGTCTGAGATTGGCCAAAACCCTACAAATCACATGCCTCAGGATCAAGTCCGATTCAAGCTTGGTGGTAGGCCATATCAATGGCAATATGGAAGATAAAGGAGAGAAGATGCAGAGATACAGAGACTTGGCAAGGGCATTACTGAAGGATCTGACTGAGTATGTGATAGAGCAAATCCCGAGGGGGGAGAACACTGATGCCGACTTACTATCGAAATTGACGCAAGAAGCCCCGGAACATGTGTCTAAGCTGGCCAGGATTGAGACGCTGGAGAAAGCCAGCATTGAAGGGTTTTCTGTTAGCCTCATAGAGGAGGATGGACAGCCCAATCCAGATCAAGTGGAGCCAGATGGTGTTTGGATGGATGATTTGGTCAAGTACTACATGACCGGGCAATTCTCTGAAGATGAGGACAGGGTGAGAAAAGTAAAATTGAGGGTTCCAAGATTCCAAATGCTTGATGGAAGGCTATACAAAAGAGCATTTGGCGGGCCGGTGCTGAGATGCTTGACCAGGGCAGAAGCGGAAAGAGTGATAGCCGAAGTTCATGAGGGTGTGTGCGCAGCCCACCAAATGTCCAGGACACTCGCACAAAGGATCATTTTGCTAGGTTATTCCTGGCCTACAATGAACCAAGATTGCGAGAAGTATGTCCAAAGGTGCAAGACCTGCCAGGTGTTCTACAAGTTTCCGGAAATGCCTGCGACATACTACCACCCAGTTTCCAATGTTATTCCGTTCTCAAGGTTTGGGATGGACATCATTGGAGCTTTCCCTCAAGCTCAAGGAAGAAAGAAGTACGTAATGGTTCCGATTGACTACTTCACAAAATGGGTAGAGGCAGAGGCATACGCAACCATTACGACCAAGCAATGCCAGCGCTTCGTCTGGAAGAATATCATCACACGGTTCGGGTCTCCACGAAACATTGTGACAGATAACGGGCCTCAATTTCGATATCCAGGGTTCAGAAAATACTTGGAGGACTTCGGGATTACTCACAACAAGGCTTCCGTGGCCTACCCGCAAGGGAATGGCCAGGTGGAAAATGCGAACCGCACTATAGTCGATGGTATCAAGAAGCGGTTGGGTGAAGCTGGAACAAATTGGTTAGAAGAGTTGCCACATATCATCTGGGCATACCGGGTCACTTCGAGAAGGGCCACAGGGGAGACACCCTTCATCCTTACATATGGGTGTGAGGCTAGACTACCCATCGAAGCTAAAATAATGACCTTCGAGGAGAAAATCTATGAAGAGAAAGGGAATGAAAAGAACCATTTGGCAGAGTTGAACTTGCTGGAGGAAAGGCGGATGGTCATCAAGGCTAAAATGATAGAGTATCAGCAAGCAGCCAAAGCCTATCATAATAATAGGGTAGGGCCTCGATACTTCCAAGTAGGTGACGAGGTCTTGAGACGAATGGAGGCCAGCAAACCAGGAGACGGGGGAAAGCTGACAAAGAAATGGGAAGGTCCGTATAGGGTCACGACAATATTACGCCCTGGGACATACAAGTTGGAAACAATGGAAGGTCGGGAGTTAGAAAGGTGCTGGAATTCCCACCACCTTAGGAAATTCTACCGATAGGCCAAAATTGGCAGGGCATGTACTTGTAATGCTTTTTCGATGATGAATAAAAGCTTTTTTCAATACTTGTAGGGCTGGGTCAGTAGTACTAAAATAACATGTCTTGATGTAAGAGGCAAGGTCACAAAAAAAAGAGATAGACCCTTGAGATAGGGGCCTTGATGTTGAGGTATAGTCTTGAGATAGGCTGGGTCTGGAAGAGGACTCGCGTCCATACTTGCATGGATCCCTACCAAATTTTCGTTTGGAAAGGGGCAAAAAGATGCCAAAATAAAAACTGTTTACCGTCTTGCATGAGCCATCCTTTGTGGATTGAAGGGTCTAGAGAAGACTAGAATTCACTTCAAACGCATAACATATGGACGTGTAAGATTGGATGAGGGCTGGTTCTCACTCGCATACCCCCACATTGGAAGATTGGGTTGGCTAGGTCAACCTAATAATTAGAGAATGGCACATTAAAAGACTTAAAACCTGGAAGAGGGGCCCTAGAAGAAGGGTGTCGCCTGGAAGAGAGTTCGGGTCTTGATGTTGAGACTTAAGACGAAAACCATTTCGGAATGTTCATTTGAAATTCGATCAAGGTATCTGTCGAGCATGACGTTCAAGCCAGAGGGATATATGAAAAAAAGGGCATGGTCAAAAAAGTGACCGGTCACTTTTTAATATTCTAGATTGGCAAGAAAAGGCGAATGGGAAAATCTCAAATATGACCGGTCAACTTTGATAAAAAGTGACCGGTCACTTTTCAAAGTTTGCATTTGAGGAAATCATACTAGTTTGAAAAATTGGGTTTTGACCGGTCATATTTTTGACCCGACCCCTGGACAGAAACTTGAAGCAATATTGGGTCCATAGCGCAACCAAACCATTGGAAGTGTGTTGAAACACGGGTTTGTCACGTTTTTGTACTAAAGCTGTGATTGTTTTTATGACAGCTTTTGATAATGCCAAACCGCCGTGATCAAGTCAAACATTGAATATACAAGGCAAAGAATGAAGATAAGAACAAGAGCTAAACGAAGACCAAGAACGAAGACCTTAGTCTTAGTATCGTTGAGTCGGTCTTTATTGTGATCAAGACCGACCCAATCTTTACACCTTGGCTCTTTAGGCTAAAATCTTTCATTGCATTTATTACATCATAAGAATGTTTTTCAAACTTGTTTAAGTCATTAAAAACACTTGGTGTTCACCAAAACCAAAAACCAAGCCATCCAGTGTTCGGCTTTCAGAAACCAGCATTCGGCTTTCGGTTATCGGCATTGGTTTTTGGTATCCGAACCAACCAAGTGGTTTTCAGCATTTTATGATTGGTTTCCACTCTTTGGCATGTTTAAACGGTTCTCCAACAAAAACACTTTGAAAACCATCTTTCGCTTTTGGTTGTTTGACAAAAACCACGCAAAACGACATAAATTTGGCTAGCCATGGTTTTTACTCAAATGACGTGGTTTTTAAAGTAACTCACTTGATTTCTTAGCCAAATACATCAAATAAGTGTTTCAAACACTTGGTTTTTATTTTGGAGAACTTTGGATTTTTCGGTCGGTTTTTGCATCGGTTGGCTAGGCCGTGGTTAAGGCAAAAACCATGGGTTTTTGGCTAACCACCCACCCAGCGATGGGAAGATCTTCCCATCGATGGGTAAGTGGTCCCTAAGCCAAACCAACTTCCAGAACCATGCCAAACAGCGATGGGAAGTTCTACCCATCGCTGTTCAAGCCTTGATCCAACATTATCACAAGGCAGAATGCCCCTTCCCAGCGATGGTAACCTTTATCCATCGATGGGAACCCGGCGATGGGAGGGCATACCCATCGCTGGTTAGGCATGACCGTTGTGAGTCATTTAAGGCTGATTCTTTCCTTGTTTGAAAGTCAACCTCCCACCCAGCGATGGGAAGCATTTACCCATTGATGGGTAGGTGACTGTTGGCTTCAAAACTGAAGGAAAATTGGCTTACCAGCGATGGGTAAGTTCCAAACATCGATGGGAAGCCAATATCCTGCAGATCCCAAATTTATTCAATCTCATAAATCAAGCCAATCACCCCTTTAATGCATTGGTCCGTTGGAGCCTATTTTGGCACTATAAAAAGGGGTGTTTGGGTCTGCTTTTCTCATCAATTCACTTCACAATATTCATATTATCATTGTATTCAAACAACATCATTTTTCATAGCTTTCTAGAGCCAATTTGTGAAGTTTGAGTTGTTCTTGAGCGTATATAGTTTACTCAACATCTACTCTAAAAGAGAGCCTTGTTCTTGAGTGTCTTAGTGTTGTATACACGTTAAGGGAAGCTTGTTTCCCTTGGTTGTACAAAAGAAAAGTATTTTCCTTCGGGTTGAAGTCTTGGAGTGCGGTATCTCCGAGCAAGTGTTGTTGAGGCTCGTGGGACTCGAGTTCTCAGGTTGTAACGGTTTGTTAAGCACCCGTAAGCTTAACGAAAGTAGTGTATCTCGAGAGAGTCTCTCGAGAGGCTTGATTAGCCACAAGTTGTGGTGAACCAGGGTAAATCTTGGTGTGCTCCCTTTACGCTTTCTACGCTCTTTATCTTTCACGTTCTTAATTTTTTATTTCTGCGATTTCTACGATCAAACGCTATTCACCCCCCCTCTAGCGTTGGTCACTTATTCTAACAAAGTGGACCATGATAAACTCAACTTGGACATCTGTTACATTTCAACCAGGAAGTGACCCGGATATTTTTAAGTTAAGAGGCCAGGACATGAAGTGACCTGGACGTTTTTAAGACTTGTATTTGACCAGGACATGAGATGACCTGGAAGTTTTCTTCGATTACAAGGCCTGGACGTTTTCGAGACTTGCATCTGGAGCGATTATCGAAAGTTTCAACCAAGCCTATCAGACCTAGACATTTTCAAGATGTTACCTAACCATGTCTAGGCCGGTTACTTCTATTGGCTTGGAAGCAAACAGTTCAAGAAAATTGTCTACCAAGCCATTTAGACCTGGATGTTTTAAAGACCAGGACATGAGATGACCCGAACATTCTTAAAACGATTCCAAGGATATAAGGCCGGTTACTTTTATTAACATGGCAGTTCAATCAAATGTGTTCGTTTTGAGGAAAGTCAAACCAGGCAACTAGAAAGGGAAACCGAACAAGAATGTAACCATGCAAAACATGTCCAAATAGCCAGGCAAGAAAATGACCACGCAAACCCAAAGAAATGCAATCGGTAAACATTGAAGACCAGGCAAGAATGCAGACAAGCATGCACGAAACTTAGCCATGCTAGAAATTAGTTCAACCATGCAAATCAAAGTAAAGAGGCCGGTAAAGATAAAAGCATACCAAGAAGAGATGAAATTACAAGTCAAATATTAGGCCGGACATCCCCCAGGCCTTGGGAAATTCAAAGTTTTTTGAAAAACATACCCTAACCTACTCTAGGGGAAAGGGGGGAGCTGGCTCTTCCTTGTATAAAGCCGGGAGTTTCATCTTGGCTGGGTTAAATGAGGGATCCCTCTTTTGGAGCCTGGCATAGAGAAGGGACGTCTCTTCCTTCTAACCACACTGGAAACCGTATGAACCGATCTTAGTTATCATCCTCTTGCCTTCCGGTTCTTTATACATGGTCTTGAAAAAGTCCATGGTATCCTCCGGCTTGGTGATAATGGACCGGGCAACTTCAGTGTGGTGGCAGGCGGCCCACTTCGCAGCATCATCAGGAAAGGCTTCCTCCTTTGACCGGGCAGTTTCTTCAGCTTGGGCCAACGCATCCTCAAGCTCAGCCACTTTCCTCTTCCCTTCCTCCTCCAACCGGGCAGACCTGGCCCTCTCTTCCTCCAGCAATGCCCTTTCCTCCCCAAGCTTGGCCTTCTCAGTCCTCAACTCTACTTCTAACAGTCTCTCCCTCTCGACCAGGTCATTTATCTCTGATTTGGCCGAGTCAAGCAAGAGATTCAGCTGAGAGGCCTGGTTGGTTGGCTCGAGGAGTGACTGGCCAATCTCGTCAGAAATGACTCCAACCTGGAAAAGAAGTTTATCAGTAAAAGTGGAGGAAATAATTAAACCGGGCAAAAAAGTAGAGATGACATACCTTTTGGAGTCTTCTGGTCAAGGCTACGAAGTCCTCTTCAACGGACTCCCCCTCTAGGTCAAGCGACCCGATCTTCTGCCTCTTGCCCCCCTTGGAACTCTTATGAGAGCCCTTCCTTTTGTGTCCTTGGGCACGGGAGGAAGACGTGCCGGTCCCTTTTGATTTAGCCTTGACCGGGACTTGGGGGGAGTCAGCCCGGTCTCCCTCGGACGGATTGGTGGCCGAAGGGGACTTCATCTTCTGATCCCGGATGAGCTCGTGTAGAGGGGTGCACCGGGCAGCAGTGACCCCTTCCTTTTCAGGCACTTGGAAAGGGGAGGCAGGGTTAGAGAAAGAAGGCTGGTCGACATGGAGGACTTCATCATCATCCTCATCAAGGTTGACGAACCGGGTGAAGTTCATGTCTGCCAAAAAGAACAAGCAACAAGTTACCGGTTAGATATTTCACCTTATAAAAAAAATTATAAAAGTCAAAAGCTTGAAGAAAAGTGACCGACCTGGATGAGGAGAACTGGCCTCAGCATGACCATCCGGGGAGTTGTCCCGGTCATCTTCTGCGTCATAGGTCGCAGATACACCCCCATCCGGATTTTGTAACCGGTACACCCAGCCTCTATAGGTGTAAGGCTTCCCGGTCACATGATCACCCTTGAGAAGTTTCTCGCAGGCGTCCTGAAGCTCAGAAGTGGGTTCCGGATGAACCCTTTCAGGTTTTATAACCCGGTCAGCCCACTCAGGGTTAGAAAAAGGGAATTAGTCAGCGGGAAACTCAATGAAAACGAATCTTCGTTTCCATCTTTTATGACTGGGGGGAAGACCGGTCACAAAACCCCTCTTGTTGCGGGAATGGAAATAAACGAAGCCCGTGCAATTATTAGTCCCGAGCAAGACTTCGAACATGTGTAGGAAGAGTTCGAGGGAAGGTTTGATTTTCAGAGAATCACAGATATTAACAAAGCAATTTAAGAACTGGTGAGCATTGGGGGTGAGCTGACCAGGCAGAATTATGAAGGGGGAAATTCAAATTTTTGGGGGCTGACCAGGCAGAATGATGAAGGGGGAAATTCAAATTTGAATTTCCCCCTTCATCATTACTTTTTGAAT